GAGAGAGAGAGAGAGAGAGAGAGAGAGAGAGAGAGAGAGAGAGAGAGAGAGAGAGAGAGAGAGAGAGTTTGGAAATTGGGAAGCCGAACAATTACCGTCATCTCCCTGGTTTTCTACCGAGACGGTCTTATGACGCTCGAGATAATATATAGCCTATCGTCGGGATAATAATCTTTGACAATCATTGCTGCTGTGTCTAGTATGCACTGTGCAGTTCACTACTACTGTGTTTTGGTCCTAGAACCGTCCTACTCTCTGCACCTCTCTTCTCTGCTCCTCCTCCTCGTCGTCCTGCTCTTCCTCCTCCTCCTGTCTTCATTCCTCTGTGGAATGTTTGCATGTCAGGAGCAGCAGACAGGTCTGGGTCCGTGAAATGGGATCTTGAATATTGTTCTGCCATGTGATTCCTACGATGATTGATCCTATTTGATGCTAATCATTGCTGATGATGATCAGATTCCTTATTCCTTAGTACGGCATGGCACTTTTCAGACATCATGATGATGATGATGATGATCATGATAATGTCATTGATGATGACGATTGTGACAAGGACTATCGCCGTATCATGAGCATGATGCTGATGGTGATGATGATAATGGAGGTAGTGCAGTGATGATGATGATGATGATGATGATGATGATGGTGATAGTGATATGATGGTTGTCGACACGTTTCCTGCCTTTTCGTACTTGCCACTTGGTCAGATCATGACGATGGCCCTGTTCCTTCCTTTGGGTTTTGCAGCATGTACGATGTTGACAATGTAGTATGGCCCTGTTCCTTCCTTTGGGTTTTGCAGCATGTACTATGTTGTAGTATGTTCACCCCCCCTACCCTCTTCACCCGAATAAAGCCCCCCCGCTAATTCATCGCTGTATGTAGACTCATTGCAGAGTGAAAGTTTGCCCCAAATACAGCTTGTATAATGACCGGGCCTTCGATTCGACTGAAGACGGTTTTCCTAGTGTGCACTAGTGCCCCGCAAACAGCATTCACTTCTTGCAAGAATGTGTCCGCCCCCCTCTCCTTTCATCCCCTCCCTGGCTCACTGGCCGGATAATCTTTCTTTACATTAATTCCCCTCCCCAACCACCTTAAGTTACTACGGTAACTAACTTACCTCTCATCATCATAACAGACTCAGTATATAATTCCTAATTAGTGGTGTGCGCAGGCACCGCGCTGCGCGGGTTTGCGGCGCAGTGACTGTAGTAATTACACACTGAACTAGTACTAGTACGTTGAACCTTTCAGAGTACTTCCCAACGGTCATGATGGAGCTCACTCTTTTTTTTTTTTTTTTTTTTTTTTTTCAATAGTTTAGACTCCTAGAGTAGGGTAGCCTGCCAGTAGGTTTTGCGAACTAGCATAACAGCAGAGAACCTATCCCTGCTCGACCCCACAATCCCCGGATACATAGCCTGGCAATGGCGATGTTTTGATGCCACAAAAGCCAGCCTTCACCCTCCCCCGGGTCCCCCCTCCCCCCCCNCCCCTCTTAAAGGACCAGTACATGCCAGTCATCGGCCGTTGGGCCCCCCTTTCGGAAATTCGGAGGTCACCTGCAGTCGATGTATCTTGGCAATCGTCCGCGGGCCGCCCATATTTACGAGTGGCTCGATCAGATTCTCAGCTTCGCTGGGGCCATGTACTCATTCATTGTACTGGTTGAGTAAACCCCCTGACAGCCCATCACACATACCCCATTCCCTCCCCCAGCCCATGGTAATAATCGCTAATCCCCTCCCTGCTGCCTGTCATCTCAATGATCGCATACGTGATGTTTCTTTCTCTTACACCCAGTCTATTCCACCATCGTTTTTTTCCTCTTTAATTCTTCCCCCCCCCGCTCCCCCCTCCATCTTCTTCTCTGTGTTTTTTTTTTTTGGTGTATGTATTTGCTATTTACTATTTAGTATTTCGTATCTCGTATTTAATATTTGTTTTTGTACTTTCTCTTCTGATTCTTCTTCGACCCAAGGTGGATGGCTAAAGAAACTATACTAAGGTAGTACGGCTCCATTGTTTTTCGTTGTTGTTCTTTTGGTGACCTTGTTGCTTTTTTTTTTTTTTTTTTCCAGGGGCTTCATTATAATTGTAGAAGCAATACTAGAACCAACTCAGCAGCTTCATAGACTATTCTCAGAAGCTGCATAGAGTATTCTCAGAAGCTGCATAGAGTATTCTCAGCAGCTTCGTTGAGTATTCTCAGCAGCTTCGTTGAGTATTCCTGGAAGCTTCTTTCATATAGTACTCTCAGCAGCTTCGTAGAGTATTTTCAGCAGCTTTGTAGAGTATTCGCGGAAGCTTCGTCGGAGGCTTCTTTCATAGAGTACTCTCAGCAGCGTCGTAGAGTATTCTTAGCAGCTTCGTTGAGTATTCTCAGAGGCTTCTTTCACAGAGTATTCTCGGAAGCTTCGTAGAGTATTCGTGGAAGCTTCGTCGAGTACTCTCGGAAACTTCGTAGAGTATGTGTTGAGTTTGGAACTCTTTATGTAGATCGCATCGTAGCTACACGACAGTTTTGCGGAGCCCGTCTTCATACTAGTACTAGGCAGTAGTTATGGGTTGTCATGGGCCATTCTTTTGCATCATGGATCTCTAATACAATGATGGCTAGGTTGAACCATCACACACGTGTCCTACTATCCATATGAAATGATATGATCCTATTATTACCTCTTTCACCCGAATAGAACGTCCGGTCACTAAAGCTGTATTGGGTGAAACTTGCAGTGCAGATATCATAATGCCATGGCACTAATTAGCGGACGCTGTATTGGGGGTGAAGACGGTACTATTACGTAGTAGTATCAGGCGAGCGAGCAAACTGTGTGATTTCACTCTTCACAGACGCTAATATGTGAATCATCAGCTGAGATGGATTTCCGTTGTGCTGCCACTTGCCGGCTTGATACATTTTATTTTTTTACCATTTAAGAACTCAAGAACCATCTTGAGTTCTTAAATGACCTTAATGTCCACAACGAATGGTTCTCCACAACAAAAAAATAGCCTTAATGTCCACAACGAATGGTTCTCCCACCAAAGCGAAGGGTCTATTTATGGATGAGACGGTCATTGCATGGCAGCAGTGCTGCGAGGTACTATACTATGGATGGCTGGTCTTTCTCCCGAGCCACAAATACCCTGGCCACCAATGTTTCCGTTAAGGACCGTTAGACAACCAGCCCATACGAGCCTCTCAGTTGACGGGCCTTAAGTAAACGGCAACCAATTATGGATGGCACGAAGCTACTTTACTTCCGAGGCTATGAAGTTATGAACTGCCACGGCCTGCCAGTGGTGGCGTTTTTCTTAAAGCACATCTGCCTGTGAGGCTGTGACACGGTGACACCCACAAATTATGCGCTTCGTCGTAGCTTTGTGCTAGGATCTGGCTTTTCCCAGACTCCAGTATCATATTATTAGGTGATGCCCACATCATCAAATTCGGGTGTGGGCCGTTCTCTTCGCTTACTAGGATCATGATTCGTGATGATGAAGTGCAGGTGCTCGCTACGTGTGTGTGTGTACGTACGTGCAAGTTGTGCAACCCCCCTTGTGATTCAATATCACAAGGGGGGTTCAATACGCCCCCCCTCAGATGTGTGTGACGCAACAGGACCTGGTGCGATATCATGAATAATGGCACCATGTGTGACACACCACCTGACAGTGTCGGACACGGCATGTTCAATTTGGTAGCAGAGCTCGTCGCGTCTCTGGCAGACACAGTACGCGACAGAGAGCCTGTTGTCTCCAAGGACCTAGTAGGAGATGTTGTGAACTCTGTAATGAAGTCGCATTATTATAAAGTGTAGTACCTGTTGGCGCTTAGGCTTAACTGCTAACAAACATAGTAGTAGTTACAATTTGTAATCCGTTAGGCTTAGTGTCAGAATAGTACTTGCAGAAGGTAGAGTAGTACTTGCAATAGTTCTTCTCCTGCTCCTGGCCTTCCCGCTCCCCTGCGTAGCTTCCTATCGTCAATCTCCTCACGAGAGGTTCAAGACCCACTCTCTTTCCCATTTTTCCTCGGGAAAGGGGAGCCGGGTGAAGGGGGACTACTGGTACTGTTTCATTCAGTCATAGGCTTTCATAAGAGGCCAATACGCCCCCCCTCCCCGCCTTTCTCTCTCTCTCTCTCTCTCTCTCTCTCTCTCTCTCTCTCTCTCTCTCTCTCTCTCTCTCTCTCTCTCTCTCTCTNTCTCTCTCTCTCTCTCTCTCTCTCTCTCTCTCTCTCTCTCTCTCTCTCTCTCTCTCTCTCTCTCCGTGTTTGGCAACGTTCAATTGACAGGAAGAGCGAAAGTGGAAAGGATTCAAAGGAAGGGCCTGGCCTGAGTTGGGCAACCTTGGGCTAGAACTTAGAAGCCAAGAACTCCAAGAAGGGAGGAGCTCAAGATTCCACCTTCTGTATTCTTCATAAGTGCGCTTCCGTCCGTCTGCTGCCTGTCCTCCTTTAGCCTTCAGGTCGTTAGACAAGGGTCGCTCCAGCTTTCCCATACTAGGCGAATTTAAGTGGATGACCGATCTTTAACCCACAGTGTCACTAGAAGACCACTGTCACACCCTAATGCCCCTCAGGTTGCCGGTAGCAGAGAGGTAGCAGAGTTTATCAATCTGTCACCCCGAGTCTTTCGAGAAGTTTCGACCCTAGCCGGTCCCCCCGCCAAGTCCGGCCATTGAGCCCCCCATTAACTCCCCAGGTTTGGCCTCGAAGGGGGCTTAGGGGGGTCAGGACAGGGCTCTCCTCCCTGTGGGTGTGTGTCTCCATGCACACTTCCCCTGGAATGGACCCTCCCCTCGTCTGGCAGCTGACTTGACTGACCTGCTCCTGCTGTAAATGCAAGTGACAGGTACACATTTGAATTTCCCCCAAGGGAGCACTTTTCCCATCCTTGGGCTTTTGGCCTGATCCGTGTGTGCGACGGACGGATGGACGGATGGATGGATCCATATTCCACAGTGAATCCACACTACCTAATCACTGACAGTCGAGGCGTTTGAATTGGGCACTCCATCTGAGCCAAGTGAGAGATTCCTTCCTATCAGAAGGAGGTGGTCAAGCCTCAACTTGGGGGAGATGCAGCAGCAGCCTGAGGAGGAAAAGGAGGACGAGAAGAGGAGGGCTTAGAGGAGGAAAGCAGGAAAGATCCCGGCCTAGCAATTTCGCTTTGCGTGTCACTGACTTAGGCATCGCCCTGGTAAACTACAGCGGCAATCCCTCGACCACTGCACGGCTTTGATTGTGGACACTTGCACCCCATGTAAGGCTACTACCGTAGGCGCTACTAGTCGGAGTCTAGTCTTCCGACTGTCAGATGACTTTCAGATGTCTTTCAGATGTCTTTCAGATGTCTTTCAGATGTCTTTCTGATGTCTTTCAGATGTCTTTCAGATGTTGGTGGGTCAACAGAGGAACTTTGCGGACAGCGCTTAGGGCGGAGAGCACCAGTTTTATGGTCCTCCTTCGAAGGAAGGCGGGTTCGTTTCTGCGCGTATCATTTGCTTTGCTGGTCCAACTTTTTTTTTTTTGGCTGCTGTTCCCTTTCATTGGGCATTGGGCATCATTTCATCATGACTGTCTGCAAGCGCTGCATTTTGGAACGCTTGCGGAATGATGGAAGGGGGGCATCATCATTGCAGTCTACTCTCGCATCACCCGAACAGAACGATCGCCGGTCATTCTACCTCAGTGTGTATCTAGGCCAACGAGAAGAGTCTACATACAGCACGAATGACGGGGCATTCTATTCGCCG